GTGGATGGATGGGTGGTGGGTGGATGGATGGGTGGATGAATGGCTGAATGGATGCATGCATGGATGAGTGGGTGGATGGATGGGTGGGTGGATGGGTAGTTTGCTGTATGGATGGATTGATTGATAGAAAAACAGATGGATGCATGGAAGATGAACGAAAAGGTGGATGGATGGACTGGTAGATGGTTGGTGATGGGGTAAGTGAATGAACAGATGGGTGAGTGGGTGGATGGGCGGACAGAGATGGAAAGATGAATGGGCAGATGAATGGGCGTATGGGTAGATGGGTGGGGGAGTGGACGGGTGATTAACGGACGCATGGGTGAATGGGTAGACGGGTACACGGGTGGTGGGTGCATGCATGGCCGTATGAATGAGTGTGTGAATGGGTGGGTGGGTGGCTGGATGGAAGACGGATGGGTGGACCTATGAGTAGGTGGATCGGTCAATCGGTGAATAGACTGCTACGTATTTGTGGGTCAGGGTGACATAGCTAAGTGACAGAGTCAGCCACGCAGTACATATTAGCATCCCGGCCATGTTTCCTCTAGAAGCAGATGAATGGCACTGGAGGAAAGGATGGTACATCAGCAGGACTGGTGTCTAATCTAGAGGGAGGCAGGAGTGTGGCAGCTCAGGGCCGGGATGCAAGTGTCTCATGTGTAGTGATTGCGTGAATCCCAGCATCTAGCAACCAGCTGGGTTTGTGGGCACCAGCGAAGTCCTTTATCCTGCAAGAGACAGAAAAAGGGACCCTGGGGGAATCTATGAAGAAGACCTGGGCACCCACCATTAACCTCACCTGGGTCTCTGGTGTGTGAGCTCGTTTTCCCCCGGGTTGGCTTTGTTCGTGTCGCGCCTACTCTGTATGGGGCCCACAGGGGATTACGTCGCGAGACCCTGCCTCAAAACAAAGCAAAACAGCCCCCCAAACCAAAACGCTAAAGAATAACCGCGGTCCTGGCGAGACCTGTGACATATTTGAGGAGATAGAAGCACAGGGCCCACAGGGGGTTGGGTTTGTGACCAGAGCTCAGTAACTTATGATTTATTAATTTATAATTCCATGATATGCAGACACTATAAAACAGATCATTTACATCATCCCACTATTATATCACAGGGTTATTCTATAGAATTTGGACATATTTACATTACAAAAAATATATGATTTGTAGTTGTATCAGAGAATTCTACTACAGTACAGAAGTGTAGCTGGCTGTGGTGGTGCATGCCTGTGATCCCAGCACTCGGGAGGCTGAGGCAGGAGGATCGCTGTGAGTTTGAGGCCAGCATGGGCTCTGCAGTGAGTTCAGGGCCAGCCTGAACTACATAGCGAGACTCTGTCTCAAAGAACAAAACCAACCAACCGAACAACAACGACAATGACAACAAAAATCCCCATGTGTATCATACAATGCTGTTACTATATATTTTGCATTTTTCTTGAACATTTCTGAAATTATCATATATACGGCTTCATGTTCGCTGGTATCCATAGAAGGGGCTCATTCCATTTGTTAGGTTGATTTGCAAATGCTTCAGCAAGTGGAGGGAAAAGCAGTTAATAGCTATTTCATAAAATCAATACGTATTTCATGATGATCGTATAATTCCACGAGTATATCACTGTTATCACAGAGCTTATTTCTATAAGTATGTCAGTATACTATATACAATCGACAGTGTGTAAAATGTTATACTATCAAATTCTGTCACTTAGAATTTACATCTATTATGTCTGTATCTATCATTAACATTATAGAATTTCATTATACTACAGAATTCCATCATGGGATATTATAATATCATTATACCACTTAAAATTATATTATGGAATTACCTGCACTATAAAATGAACTCATAAGGAATATTAGAATATCATCATATCATATATCATTTATGACTATGGGATTTTATAATACCATTGATTTTTATTACTTCAAATTTACATGTACTATGTCAGCATATATCATTTATATTACTGAATTTCATTATCTCCTAGAATTGTATCATACAGAATACTGTAATGTCATCATTTCATATATTCCCAAAAATTATATTATGAAATTTATTCTATAGAAGGAACTTACATATAGTACATTAGAACATCATTATATTACATAGCATATTTTACTAGTGAATTCTACTACTTAGATTTCATATTTACTCTGTATATATCATTTATATTATGAAATTCATTATTAGAATTTTATCATTTAGAACATTGTAATATCATTATGCTAAATTTATATTATGGAATTTCAATAGACTACACGATTTTATTATACACAGAACATCAGAATGTTATTTTACATATCAGTTATAATTTTGCAAGGGGTTGCAGTATGTTATGGAATTTCACTATACAGGCAATATTAGAATAGCATTGTTGTATGTTTGCAGGTCACTAGCATGAAATAATTTTATATATATCATCCATGATTACATTATGGGATATTACTATACTATAGGAGCTACTATATGTAACATGAGAATAGTACTATTACATACTTATTTTATATATCATCTACAATTACGTTATGGGATATTACTATACTGTGGGATCTACTATATGTGACATTAGAATAATACTACTACTTATATTTATTTTATTTATGTATCATCTAAACATTATGGGATGTTACAATTCTGTCGGAGCTACTATATGTAACATTAAAATAATACTGTTATATATATTTATTTTACTATTTTATTATATATCATCTACCATTACGTTATGGGATATTACTATACTGTGGGATCTACTATAGGTAACATTAGAATAATACTATTATATATATATATTTATTTTATTATGTATCATCTACAGTTACGTTATGGGATATTACTGCACTGTGGGATGTACTATAAGTAACATTAGAATAATACTATTATATATATTTTATTATTTTATTATGTATCATCTACAATTACGTTATGGGATAGTACTACACTGTGGGATCTACTATAGGTAACATTAGAGTAATACTAGTATATGTGTTTATTTCGGTATATATCATCTACATTTACGTTATGGGCTATTGCTACACCGTCGGGTCCGCTATGGGCCACATTAGAATAATACTCACATATATTTATTTTATTTGTACATCATCTGATCAGGAGATGGGCTTTCACCGCACAGGAGCGCCCTGGTACAAACACTGGAGTAACACCCGCCTGTCCTCTGCAGTTTTGCTCTGGGCTTCGCTAGGGTCGGGACCCCCGGGCCGCAGGCGACGCTGGGAGGCGGAGCCGCAGCAGCCCGGCTCCCGGAGCCCACCTGCAGGCTGGGCTTGCAGGTGCAGGCAGCAGGTGGGGCGGGGCGCCGACGCGCACGCACAGAGCGAACCGCCAGCCCTCCCGGAAGTCCCGCCTCTCCCGGGGCGGGGCCCGGCCGGGGAGACGCACCCGGTGCCGCCGCGCGGCCGCTTCCTCCTGGCCGCGCGCCGGAAGCGGAAGTGCGTCACAGGGGGCGGGCGGCGACGGCGGGTCGCGTCCGGGGCGCCACCGGCGGACGTTGACGACGGCGACGGCGGCAGGCGGGAGGCCGCGCCTGCCCGGTGGTCGTCGGGGACGGCGAGAGCTGGGGCCGCGACGCAGGCGGAGCCCTGAGGCGGTGAGTGCTGCCCGGAAGCCGCGCTCCTGGCCGGGCGGGGGCGGGGCCTGGCCCTGGCCCGGGGGGTGGGGGCGATCCAGCAGGCGTCCTAGGGGCCCGGGGATTATTTGGAGGCCCGGGGGCAGCGCCAGGGGAAAGTAAGGGGAGGCGGACGGTGACACGGGCCAGGAGCGGTGCGAGGGACCTGGGGAGACACCTGGGCCAAATGGGGCTGCCAGGGATGTGGGGGGCTGGGGCCAGTACCGGGGATCCTAGAGGGTGCTAGGGGACAGCTTCAGGGGTGGGGGAGCCCACAATTAGAGTGGGGCGCTGCAGTGGTGTGGGGACCTGAGGTTGGCCTGCCTGCGGGGAGTGGGGGTGCTGGGGGGCTGCAGGCGGTACCGGGGGTGCTGGGGGCCGGACCAGGGAACCGTTAGGGAGTGCTGAGTGGGATTCGGGGCGCCAGAGATTTGGGGGACTGGGAGCAGTACTAGGGAATGTATGGGGTGCTGGGGGCCCAGAGGGGGTGCTACAGATCGTGGGGGCGCTGGGGCCCAGGGCTGTGCGCGAACCGGGGCGCTGGACGGCTGGGAACGAGGGGGCCCTGTGTATGTGCGGCGCTGGGTGCCTAGGAAGCCTGGGGTTCCGGGGTGGGGGTCTTAGGAGCGGGGTAACTGCGTGGATGGGGTGGGGGACAGGAAGGCTGGGGACCCACCGGCTGGGGGCGGCCGCAGGAGGGGTCTCGCGTGTGTCCTGGTCTCCGTCACGCAGGCCCTCTGCCCGCTGGGTCTGCTTGGGGGGGTCTGCGAGCCCCCCACCCCCGCCCCGCCCCCGCCCCGCCCCGCCCCAGCAGCGGAAGCAGTGGGCCTTGTGCCGCTCGAGTTTCCTGGCTGGAGTTCGCTCCCGGAAGTCCCCCCGCGGTGGGCTTTGGGGGCGGCCTGGGCCGGGGTCTGGGGTCTGGTGAGGCCTCGCTCCCTCGGCCCCGCTAGCCCTGCAAGGGCACCAGCGGCCAGGCGGGGAGGGCCGCGGGCTGCGGGGCGGGACTTCCTTCCCGTCTGCTGCGAGCCCCAGCCCGGCCGGCGCCGCCTCCTGCCGCCCAGCGTCGCCGCTCCTGCCCGGGTGTGTGGGGGGGCTCCCCGATGCAGCCGCCCTGACCCCGCGCCCCCCGCAGGCCCAGTCCCGGCTATGGCCGCGGCCACCATCGTGCACGACACGTCGGAGGCCGTGGAGCTGTGCGCGGCGCACGGCCTGTACCTGAAGCCGATCACCAAGATGAGCATCAGCGTGGCTCTGCCGCAGCTGAAGCAGCCGGGCAAGTCCATCTCCAACTGGGAGGTGATGGAGCGGCTCAAGGGCATGGTGCACAGCCACCAGTTCTCCACGCTGCGCATCTCCAAGAGCACCATGGACTTCATCCGCTTCGAGGGCGAGGTGGAGAACCGCAGCCTGGTGAAGGCCTTCCTGGCCTGCCTGGACGGCAAGACTATCAAGCTGAGCGGCTTCTCCGACATCCTCAAGGTGCGCGCCGCCGAGTTCAAGCTCGACTTCCCCACGCGCCACGACTGGGACTCGTTCTTCCGCGACGCGAAGGACATGAACGAGACGCTGCCCGGCGAGCGGCCCGACACCATCCACCTGGAGGGGCTGCCCTGCAAGTGGTTCGCGCGGCGCGAGGCGGGCTCCGAGAAGCCCAGCGAGGACGTGCTGGTGCGCGTGTTCCAGAGGTTCGGCGAGATCCGCAACGTGGACATCCCCATGCTGGACCCGTACCGCGAGGAGATGACCGGCCGCAACTTCCACACCTTCAGCTTCGGCGGCCACCTCAACTTCGAGGCCTATGTGCAGTACCGCGAGTACGCGGGCTTCATCCAGGCCATGAGCGCGCTGCGCGGCATGAAGCTCATGTACAAGGGCGAGGACGGCAAGGCTGTGGCCTGCAACATCAAGGTGAGCCCCGGGGGCGGGGCCGCGCAGGCGCCACGTGTTTAACTCACAGGCCCTGTGCCGGGAGCCCAGGCCGAGGCAGGAGGGTCGCACGTTCACGCCCTAGTGTGGGCCGTTCAGCGGCTTAGCGAGATCCTGACTCCGGGCCGTGACGTGTAGTCGGCCAGGGCTGCGCGAAGGGGATTTTAAGCGGGTCGGCTGGAGGGAATTGGGCGCCCGAGGCGGCCCTTGAGCGGGAGCTTCGGGCTCCTGTTTGCCTCCCCATGGCGCGGCTGCTCCGCGGTGCCAGCTGGCCTAGGGGGTTGCTGGGGAGGCGCAGCCTGGGCGTCGGGGGGCGGTGAGCGAGGGCGGCCGGGCTGCCCGGCCTCACTTTCTGTGCCCCGGCGGCCGAGGCCCCGGGGCGCGGCCGGGAGAAGCCACCGCCTGCCCCGTTTGTTGTCCAGGTTTCTTTCGATTCGACCAAGCACCTGAGCGACGCGTCCATCCGGAAGCGGCAGCTGGAGCGGCAGAAGCTGCAGGAGCTGGAGCAGCAGCGCGAGGAGCAGAAGCGCAGGGAGAAGGAGGCGGAGGAGCGGCGCCGGGCGCAGGAGAGGTGGGCGTGGCTGACGGGGCTGCAGAGCTGCAGAGCTGAGCGCATCTGTGGATGCCGGGGCGCGCGTGCGCACTTGCCGGTGTGTGGCTACGCTTGTGAATGCGTGTACAGCCGACTGTGCAGGTGTGCGCTCATGCCTGCGAACGTGCGTGTGTGCACACTTGTGAGCGTGTGCGTGTGTCTGCACGTGCAGTGGCTGCGAGAATGCCCGAGAATGTGTGCACCCGCGATGTGTGTGCGCCTGTAGGTGAGTGAGTGCCCGAGTCGTGTGCGCATGCCCGGCTGTTTGTACACTCGATGTGCGTGTGGTACCTGGCTGTGCGTGTGTGTGCAGGCCCGTGAACCTCTGCGTGCTGAGGGCGTGTGCACACATGTGGGCCTGAGCGTGGGGCGTGCTCCCGCGCTGTCGTCTCCCTCTGGAGGCCCGGCCGCTCCGACCCAACCGGAGTGAGGCCCCGCTGTGGCTCTGGGGGAGCAGAGAGGCCGCCCCGGGCCACCCCGGCCTCCGTGCCCGGTCCCCTCCCACCGGGAGAGGGGTGCTCAGGGACGCTTCCGCAAACACCCGTCGAGCCCAGGGCCTTCGCATTGCATTCCACTTTGGCTTCGCCACTGAGTTGCTGGGGCCAGGCTGGAGCTTGGGACCCTTCTGGCTCAGCCTTCCGGAGTGCCGGGGTCACAGGCGTGAGCTGGCGGTTCAGCCCGATCCTGGTTCTGGGGCTGGTCCTCCTTCCCCGTGGGGCCGCCAGATCCGCTCCCAGCTGGGCGGCGCCCTGTCCCGAGTGAGCGTGGGGCTGGTGGAGGCCCCCGGGGCCCGGGGTGCTGGGGGATGGGCCAACCCCGGGGGCGCCCTGCTCCGGCTCCCTGCCTTTCTCACTGCGGTGGGTGCCCTGTGGGCCGGGCGACCCGACCTCCCGCGTCCCAAAGGCCTGGGCCTGCAATTCGCGCTCCGTCGCCCCCTGCCCAGCGGCAGGACTGCTGTGCTCGGTCCCCTCCCCTCCGCGTGGCCACAGGGTCGCGCGTGCCCAGTGCCCTGTGCCTCCCATGCCCTCGAGCGCGCACAGGCCCGGCGCCCACGGCCCTGCCCCAGTCGAGCCCGCGGCCGGCTCATCCCCGCCGCCTCCTGCGCCCGCCGAGCGCTTTCCAGAGGGCGCAGACACCGGGAGCCTCCTCAGGCGCCATCCAGGCCCGGGCCTCCCGTCCTCTGCCCAGGGACGTTTTGTTGGGAGAGAGAATGAACCCAGGCCGGTGTGCGGCCCAGGCCTGTCGTCCTTGGGGTCTGCTAGGCCGAGGCAGGAGGCGCTCGAGCTGGAGCCCAGCCCGGCTCACGGAGTGACAGCGCGATCCTGTGTCGCGGTGAAGCGGCCGTTGGGCCCTGGCTTCCGCGGAGCCACAGAGGGGTCCTCGACCGCTTCTCTTCCACGCCGCGGGGCTGCGGCCCTGACCGCCCCTCCCCCTGCCCCGCCCCAGGAAGCAGAAGGAGCTGGAGGAGCAGGAGCGCGAGCGCAAGCGCGAGGAGAAGCTGCGCAAGCGGGAGCAGAAGCAGCGCGACCGCGAACTGCGGCGGAGCCAGAAGAAGCTGGAGCGGCTGCAGGCGGAGGAGCAGAAGAAGCTGCAGGAGAAGATCCGGCTGGAGGAGCGCAGGCTGCTGCTGGCCCAGCGCAACCTGCAGTCCATCCGGCTCATCGCGGAGCTGCTGAGCAGGGCCAAGGTGGCTCCGGTTGGCGGGCGGTTGGCGGGCGGTTGGCGGGCGCGGGGTGGCCCCTCCCCTCTCCTCCCCTCCGCCCCCGGACTCAGGGTGGGCGGACGCATCCTGCAGGCCCCGAGGTGCGGCTGGGCGGAGTAAGGCAGCGCCCTGACTCGGCCTCCGAGGAGGCCGGTGCTGAGCCCCGGGTGCCAGAGTGGGCGCAGGCGCTGCCCTCCCGTCTGCGTGGCTGAGCCTCTCCCTCCCCTCCCCTCTCCGCAGGCGGCCCGGCTGCAGGCGCAGGAGCAGCAGGAGGAGCGGCAGCGGCTGCAGCGGCAGGAGGAGCGGCGGCGGCTGCAGGAGGCTGAGCTGAGGCGTGTGGAGGAGGAGAAGGAGCGCGCGCTGGGCCTGCAGCGTAAGGAGCGCGAGCTGCGGCAGCGCCTGCTCAGCATCCTGCTCAGCCGCAAGCCTGAGGACGCGCGGCCGCCAGAGGCGCTGCTGCAGCCGGTGCTCGACATCCTGCACACCGTGTCGGCCGCCGCGCTGCACCCCAAGGAGGCCGAGCGCGCGCCGCGGGGACTGAACGGCGGTCTGGAGGACGCGGCGGCGCGCGGGGAGCCCCCGGGGCCCGGCTCCCCGGAGCAGGAGGAGAAGCAGCGCTGCCCCGCTGTGCTCGCCTGCATCCCCGACAACCAGCAGGACGGCAGCCAGCAGCCCAAGGGGCCCCCGGCCGGCGAGCAGGGCGCGGCCAGGAGGGAGGCAGGATCGGAGCAGGACAAGTGCAACCGCGAGCCCAGCCGGGGCAGCCGGGCCGGGAGCGCCGAGGACGCCGGAGGCCGGGCCGGGGCTGGGGCCGGGGAGGCCGGGGAGGCCGGAGAGGTCGGGGTCGGGGTCGGGGTCGGGGTCGGGGTCGGGGCGCCGCGCGAGCGCAGCCGGGCCCGCAGCCGGGAGGACCGGACGCCGCGCAAGGAGCGCCGTGGGCACAAGAAGCATGCCCACCGGGACGCAGGGAGCCCTGGCCGGCGCAGCGGCAGCCCCCGGGGGTCGCGCAGCCGGGACCGGCGCCGGGAGCGGAGCCGCGAGCGCAGGGCCAGCGCGGGCCGCAAGCGCAGCCGCCACCGTCGCCAGGGCGAGCGGTCGCGGTCCCGGTCCCCCAGCCGCCAGCGCAGCGCCTGGAACAGGTAATGAAGGGCAGGAGCCGCCTGGACCGCAGGCCCCGGACCCGGACCGCCCCACCACCGAGCCTCGCTTGCCTCCCGGCCTCTGCCCGCCCCGCCCCGGGCCAAGAGGAGACGCTGCCTGCGGGGCTCTGGTTTCCCTGCTGCCCTGAGAGACTCCGGCGTGGGAGGGCAGCTGGGCTCCGCCTGCCCCTCCAGCCCGAGCCGCCCAGCCAGGACTCCTCCTCTGTCCTGGCGGGGCCCAGGCCCGGCCCGCCCCGCCCTTCCGCGTGTGCCCGGCGGCGTCCACTCCAGCTCGCGTTTCTGTGGCGAAATAAAGTCCTTTTGCAGTGAGCGGTCTGCTTCCTCCCGGCCCGGCCGTCGGGGACCAGGGCCCTGAGCGCCCCAGGCGGGTGCTGGCGTGCGCGTGTGTGCGGGGCGCCCCGCGGCCGGCCGTCGTTCTGAGTCCGCAGCAGCCGCGCTCTCCGAGCAGCCGGTCCCGCCCCTCGGTGCCCCGCGCCTGATTTTCCTTCTGAAGTCCGCCCGAGGTGACCCGGAGGAAGGCAGAGGCCGGGATGCGGTGCGCATGCGTGGATGCCCACCCGGCAGCGCGGGGCTCAGATCCCAGCCTGTGGCGTGCGCGCTGCCTTCGGGCCCAGACCCGGGCTCCGGGAGGGGTTTCCGGTGACCTCAGGGCTGCTGTTGCAGAAGGCACTGGCGCCGCCGTCTAAGAGTGGGTTCCGACGGGCCGGTGTGGGTCGGAGGCCTTTCCCCGAGGTTGCAGGGGCGAGCAGGCGTCGTGGGCGAGGTGCTCCCCGGGGCCGCCTCGGCTGGTCCTCGGGTTGCACGGCCCTCTGTCCCCCTGCCGGCCTGTCAGGGCGGCGGCAGTGACCTCTCGGCCGTCTCCTCGCGCGGGGCGGGCGTTGCGTCCTGCCCTCCGTGAGGTCTGGTGGGTGAGCGGGGCAGCTGCCTGCCACCCTGAGAAGATGCCCGAGCATACGCCCGACGGGGCAGGCTGATGCGGGCGGGCTCAAGGGTTCAGAGGGTCCAGTCCAGGGTCAGCCGCTCCACGGCTCGGCCCGCGGCGCGGTCAGCATGGTGCCGGGAGCGTGGAGGGCGGAAGCTGCTCACTGCGTGGTGGCCAGGAGAGAGGGAGAGAGGGAGGGAGCGAGCGAGGGGAAGGGCCCGGGAACAGACGCCCAGGTCTCGGCCCGTGACCCTGCCTCAGCCAGCGCTTCCCGAGAAGGCGGCGTCTCCGCAGTGTCGAACTCCTGCGAGCCGCCCGCTGGCCCGAGCCCACCGGCTAGGAAGCCTCCAGCACGAGTCTTGGGGCTGAGGGGGCCGTGTGCCATCCATGGGGGGCAGTGGGCGAGTGGTCACCCCAGTCCCAGCCGCACCCGGGTGCCCGTGCAAGACAGGACTTGACGGAGTCCGCGGTCGGTCGCAGTGGAGCGGAAGGCGCACCCTGGTAGCCAGACCCTGGTAGCCAGACCCTGGCCTGGAACCCGTGCACCTCCCGGTCTGGGTGGGCGTGGGGTTCTCTTGGCTTTCTGCAGAAATCAGACAAAGGCAGGACGACCCCGGGCCGCACAGGGACCACCCTGGGGCTGGCGTCCTTTATCTGTGCGGTGACCTGGAGCTGAGGTGCCCCAGGCCCTGGCGTCCACCTCGGTCTCTGTCCCTTCCCTGCCGAGGCGGCCATGTTTCAGGGCCCACGCTGGGCGCCCCTGTCCCCAGAGGAGCAGTCCACGGAGCCCCTCTTCCCCAGGCCTCACCAGCTGCCTCCCGGGAGGAAGCACCTACCTCGAGGGCTGCCGGGGCTCGGTGCTCACCGCGGGGACTAAGCTAAAGGAGAGAAGCAGCCCTGGCCTCCGCCCGAATCAGCCCGAACGCTGCTCTTTAAGCAAGAACAAGAAGTCAGCGCCTTTGCAGAACGTGGCTGGTGTTGGAACAGCAAGGAATGATTTTGAAGATGAATCCAGTGGAATCAGTGTTGGAAGTGCAGCCGTAGCCGCTAGAACAGGCGACGAGGGAGGAGGAGGTGGAGGGATGATGATAGGGAAATCAGGACAGGCAGGGCCTGCAGGGAATTGGGGGTCCCTGCACCACGGGTGGGAGCAGAAGATGTCACAGCCACTGTGAGGAGGCCTCTGCGGAGTCCTGAAGAAACTGAAGACATTGATCACATGACCCAGCAATTCCACTCCCGGAAGAAGTGAAGACAGGAATGCCAACAAGACTGTGTACACCCTTCTTCAGAGCAGCATCATTCCCAACAGCTAAAAGGTAGAAACAAAGCAAGCGACCCTCCGTGCATGGATGCAGGCATGGAACGGGATCCACACGGAGGAATATTACACAGCCCTGAAAAGGACTGGGCTGAGACACCTGCTGTAACAGGGATGGGCCTCGACCACATGATGATGAGTGAGCAGCCAGGCACGAGAGGCCACGTGTTGCGTGATTCCCTTGGTGTGAAACGGGCGGGACGGGCACATGCGCAGAGCCAGGACGCGGATTAGTGCGCCTCCCATCGGGAGGGAGGAGGGGCAGTGGCGGTCATGGGACAGGGCAGCGGCGGCGAACCTTCCGAGCTTGTGGTGATGCCCACCGCCCGCTGCGGCACGCACGCCACGGCGAGGCCAGCACGGCTACAGGCTCTCCTTTTGGGGTGGCGAGAATGTTCTGGACCCAGGGAGACCCTCCTGCCTGTGCCTCCTCCTCCCGGGGCTCCAGGTGGCCCTGGGCTGCGGCCCCATCCCTCACTCCGTCTCCACAGAGGCCTCTCCTCTGTCTCTGTCTGCGTCTCCTCTGCCTCTCGTGAGGACCCTGCCTTTGGACTGAGGGCCCCCTGACCCGGACGGCCCCGCCCCCAGACGCTGCTCGGGTTCCTTCCCTCTGCGGGGCCTGTCTCCAAACACACACGCGTGAAGTCCCAGGGAGCTTTTGCGTGGGGCTCACACAGCACACTATCGATTCCAAATGGGGCAAATTGCGAAAAGTAGACGATCAGGAAGTGAGAGCGCAGTTAGAACAGAGCCGAGCCAAGGAGCCCTCTCGCCGGGAGAGCGCGTGCGTCCCGTCCCAGCGGATCCCCAGTGTCACCTAGGCTTCACAGGCACCAAGGAGTTGTCAGAACCCTGCCGTCATCCCGGCCCTCAGCGAGGCTGAGCCAGGAGGCTCTCAGGTTGCAGCCCAGCCTAGGGAACCTAGTGGGTTAGCGAGAGCCTGTCTGGAAACAAAGATTTTTCAAAAGGGCTGGAGACGAAGCCCTGTGGGATCTCGGCGTTCCACCCGCCCAGTGCTGGAGAAACAGAAACCGCGTCCCAGGAGTTGGCTGGGCGCGGTCCAGCTGGGGCCCGCGGGGGCCTCTCTGGGCTGCGTGCTCACGGGTTCGCTCACACACGCAGTTCGCCCCCTTGCCCGATCCCCGGGAGCCTTTGCCCCGAACGGGGCTCACAGCTCGGCTCTGCCAGGCCCGACGTTCACCGCACCCATGCTCAGGTTTGCGCCCTCACCTCACGTTTCCCACCTGGGCCGCAGACTTCGGACCCTGAACCAGCTTTGTTCACGTTCTTCCCACAGCGGCGGCGCCTCTTTGCGGGCCCGTTACACACTTGCGAGTGTGTGTACTTTAGGCATCGGTGAGACGCGCACGGTCGTTTGGAACAGATGCAGAAGGAAGTGCAGTTGGACCGGTTCCCGCTACTCGAGTGCAGGAGGGAAACTGAGTCCCACGGTCCGTCCCTCCCGGAGTGTCCCCGAAGTTCCCGAGCGTAAGTGTGAGGACCACAGGTGTCGGTCATTTTCTCCTCCTGCGACAAAAATCCCTGCCATCCACGGCTGGAGGGAGGAGATGTTTACTTTGGCTTCCGGTTGGAGCAGGGTCAGTCCTCAGTCTTCCGGGTCACACCCCAGGGACCCCAGGCTCTTGGGGGGACCCACAGCTAGAGAGCAGAGCAGGAAGCCCCTTCCAGGACAGTGAGGCTCGCCTGAGTCTCCCACCTTGAGGGGAATTGTGTTTGGCTAGAGGTGCAGAGGGCAGGGCTCTAGTCGCAGGGGTACCCAGATGGGGGACCCACAACCCCGTCTCAGGCAGGACTGGGCTGGCCAGGAGCCCGGACCTTGAGCCACTGTCCCTCAGCAGGAACCGAGAACCACTCAGTGGTGGATGTCACTCCGCGGCACAGCTCCAAGCACCAGGGCGGCGCGTGAGTCTCACCCGCCCCGAGCGGAGTGTCTGATCCCGCGAGTTTGAACCCTGCTTATTGCCGGCTCTGCCTGGGAAAGCGCACGGTGTACCTGGGCCTCTGGTTTCACAGCCTTCACTGCAATCTCTCCGAGTGTCGTCCTGCTCTTTCAGCCCTGATCTCATGCCGGGCAATCGCCTTAGCTGAGGATTCCCCCAGCATCCCCGCAGCAGCTGGCATTCGCACCCCAGCGAGGCGGCTCTGGGTGTAATTAAGCAGATGAGACCTCCCATTCTCCTGTAAGATGCCCCCAGATGAAATCCTTCATCGATCCTCCCGACCTTCAGGCTGTGAAAGCTGTCAGAATCAAAATGCAGCCACTCACGCCAGACCTAAGAAGGTGCCAAATCCTGAGAAAATTGGATTACTCATGCCCAACTCTTAAGAAAATGGAGTCCCTCGATGTCAAACCCTAACAAAATGGACTCATGTCAACCCCTCATAAAATGAGGTCACCATATCAGTCACTTTCCCATGGCCGACACAAAATATCAGACACTCATGAGGCGAAGGAGGAGAGCTGCTCATGGTCTCAGAGGGTTCAGTCCATGGTCGGCTGCTCCAGTGGTCTCAGAGGGCTCAGTCCATGGTCGGCTGCTCCAGTGGTCTCAGAGGGTTCAGTCCATGGTCGGCTGCTCCAGTGGTCTCAGAGGGCTCAGTCCATGGTCGGCTGCTCCAGTGGTCTCAGAGGGCTCAGTCCATGGTCGGCTGC